GCACATAATTATAAACTTTTAAAAGTTCGATCTAAAATTAACAAACCATGCAAAAGTGAAATGTCTTAGGCGTAAAACATCTGACAATTCAAATCAACTAAACTGAATCAATCTACTGCTTTGCAAAGTAAAAAAGGAATAAAAAAGACAGAAGACAATCACAAATACCTCCTTTTTCAGGATCTATTTCAACAAATGCAATACTACTTCTTGCCATCCTAAGGATAGTTTAAGGAGAAAATCTAGTATACATACATGGAGGCCAACTTGTGGGTTTTTGTTGTTGTTTGGTTTTTTGTGGGGGCATCTGGCCAGTATGGGGATCTGAACCCTTGACAAGGGTTATACAAGGCTGCACTCTCACCAACTGAGCTAACAGGACAGTCCCGACCAATTGTTTTAATGACACTTTAATTTTAAAAATAAAATAAGGGCTGGCCCATGGCTCACTTGGGGGAGTGTGGTGCTGACAACACCAAGTCAAGGGTTAAGATTCCCTTACCGGTCATCTTTTTAAAAAAATAAATTAAAATAAATAATATAAAATAAAAACTGGTATGCCAATCTTATTTAATTTGTAGAGAGAGAAAACCATCACAAAACAGTATATTCATTAATCTCTTAACATAATCTCTCCTTCCCAGTAAATTTAATGGAAAAAATTTTTATTTGTAAATTGTAACCCCTAAAACTTAACTCTAAAAACCACTAACTCAATCTATTCCCTCTGATGCCATCAAATTATTTATCCTGAATGGTCACCATACCAAAACTGAGTTAATGCTTTGTTAGTATTCTAGACTAAGTTGTTACTCATGTGGGTTGTAGATGTCAAAAAAACCAAACAACAAAACAACTTCAACCCTTACTAGTTACTGCATTCATGTCAGAATACTACATTAAACTTCAGTAAAGACTGGTAAACGGATCTGGTCAAGGCACTAATACTTTAACAACTACATTTCTTCAATATTTTCCAAAGAAACCACCACCAATTTATATGATACTTAGAAAACCAGTCTCAGAAAATCAAATGCTTCTGCAGTAAAAAAATTTGAGTACAGTCAAAACAAACATTTCATATCCTTTGAAATCATAAACTCTTTCAAAACTTATCTATATATAAAACTGGAAAATTCCAACACCTATATTAATTAGATAATAAGCAAACTTCAAATACTTAAATCAACCCTATCACTCCAACAACAAAAAAGCTAACTTTTTTTTAGGAGGGTGAATACTGAAATTAAAGATTTCCTACTTAAAAGCAGTACCAAAAGTTCAACTTAATTATCACACAAGTATTTTTACTAACAGGAGTATGACACATAGAAAACAATAAATTTATCAAAAAGGAAAAGTAATTTTTACACTAAGCCTATTAGAAAACAACTAAATATAACTTAATCTGGACTGAACCAAACTAGAAGCTGTATTCATCTGTACCGTTTGTAATATATTCCATCTTAGTTAAATATGACTTATCCCCATGTTATTCTTTGTGATGGAGACCAAGTTAGAATAGGGTGTAGCAGTTATGGGCTACTCCATTGAGACTATATCTGAATAGAAGAAAAAATTGATAAAAAAATTATTAATTGGTAAATTTCATATTTTTATAGATTTTTAACACCAAACAATGATTTATAATAGTGATTCTAGTATCTTTCATTGAAAATTCATTTCTCCATTCTGTTATTGTTAAAAAAAAATTAGCCACAATGCTTGAGGGAACTAGTAGCTATTTTTCTACCTTAAAAGAGAAAAAAACTATAAGCCTTTCAGAATGTTTCCCTGCCTCAGTAAGCATTTATAATCTTAAAAATTTATAATGATTAGTGATCTATGAATGACTATTAAATTAACAATAATTTATTGTATGTTGTCAAATGGATAAAAGACAGCAGCTTAAATGTTCTCATCACAAAGAAACAATAAATTTTTGCTGATTAATTTGCTAATGACCCTGATTTGATCACTACACATTGTACACATGTATTGAAATAACTCTGCACCCTATAAATATGTACAATCAATATGTTTTGATTAAATTTTTTTTAAAAAGTAGTACTAGAGGCCGGCCCATGGCTCACTCAGTAGAGTGCGGTGCTGATAACACCAAGGCCACGGGTTCGGATCCTATATAGGGATGGCCAGTTTGCTCACTGGCTGAGCGTGGTGTTGACAACACCAAGCCAAGGGTTGAGATCCCCTTACCAGTCATCTTTTAAAAAAATAAAATAAAATAAAATAAAAAAATAAAAAGTAGTACTAGGAGATGAAGTTTGAGTCTATAATAAAATCTGGAAATTTATTTTAGACTTAATATCTAATATGAATATGTTTCCTCATAATCTGTTTCTCCCAAAGGCAATCTTCTACTTCCTCAAAATAAATTTGGATTAAGAGTTTGTTATTCAAAAAACTATAGATTTACAGTCCTATTACTCCTAAATGAAGGTTTTTTTTTTTTTTGTCTTTTTTCGTGACCGGTAAGGGGATCGCAACCCTTGGTGTGGCGTTGCCCGCACTGCGCTCAGCCAGTGAGCACACTGGCCATTCCTATATAGGATCCGAACCCACGGCGGGAGCGTTGCTGCGCTCCCAGCGCTGCACTCTCCCGAGTGCACCACGGGGCTGGCCCCTAAATGAAGTTTTATAAAAACAGGGAGGTCAAGGGTTCAGATCCCTGTACCGGCCACCTACCCCCCCCAAAAAAAGGGGGGACACACATTATATCTAACAGTTGTTTCATATGTACCAAAATTAAATCCTTTTGTACAATTTTTCCAAGTGTAAATTTTACATAATAAAATACTGGGAAATACAAGTTCAAATACCAACAAGTTATTACTCTGAAATTAAAGAATATATACAAAACGGGCCGGCCCGGTGGTGCACTGGATAAGTGCACCGCTTGGGAAGCGCGGCGGCGCTCCCGCCCGAGGGTTCGGATCCCACATACAGACCGGTTCCCGCTCACTGGCTGAGCAAGGCGCGGGGGCAACGCCGAGGGTTGCAATCCCATTGCCGGTCCCCGGTCCGGTACGGGGGCAACACTGAGGGTTGCGATCCGTTGTCAGACACGGAAAAAGACAAAAAAAAAAAAAAAAAAAAAAGAATATATAAAAAACATGGATGAAGGAGATGTGCATATGTATATATAAATGTGTATACATATACTCACAAAACATGAGTTAGCATATTCCTACTATGTCATATTTAGTTAAGATGAACAAATATAAACAAACACGCATGTGTTAAACAAGATAAAGCAAGGTAATACCCACTCAAATGTAAACAGCACTGAATAAAGCAAATAAATAAAAATCATAGTCTTATTTCACTAAAGGCCTTGTTGAGAGTATTGTGTCTAATTTTGAGCTTCACAACTTAAAATGTAATATAAAGATGTGGGAGAACATTTAATGTTGGAAAGAACAGCAATAGGTTTTAAGACAACACACGATGAAAGATTATGGAATTCAGAGTCTGCTGATTTAGGAAAAAGTTTATAAGCAATGAAATATTATGTAAAACATATAAAGAATCATAATGATTTTTTAAAATAGCACTGTAATCAGCTAGGGTTTTTTCCTTAAAAATAAAGTAAATCATAGCAAAGATCAAAGAAAGATTTTCTTTTTTGGCAGATGGCTGGTGCAGGGATCGAACCCTGGTTGGACCTGGTGTTACCAGCACCACACTCTAACCAACTGAGCTAACCAGCCAGCCTTAAAGAAATATTTTCTATAAAACACTGTGAATAAAGGTATTGGTAAGTGCTTCTTTCCTCATATTGCTAAGAGAAGTGCTTAATTATCTAGGATCATCTAAGTAAAGCTCTGCTTGAAGGCAGGCATGAATTATAAGACCTCTGAAATGAATTCCATCTCAGTTTTTAAATTTAACTTTATTTATTTTTTGGTGGCTGGCCAGTAAGGGATCTGAATCCTTGACCTCGTTGTTAACAGCACCATGCTCTAACCAACTAAGACAATCAGCCAGCCCAGTTTTTAAATTTTAAGTGAAGGAACACAATCTAATTAAGAAAACTATCCAGTGAGAAAAATACAGTTGGCTTTACAGAAAAATTAGAACTCTAATATAATATTCTATAGGACAAATTTTCTTATAACCAATGCTAAGCAACTGTCCAAAACACTTTTTATATTCATACTGCATTAAGTTGAATAGACAAGTGAAACACTCTCAGAATCACCTGAGAAGCTTTTTCTAACTACAGTATATAGTGACTTGCCTCTTTATCCCTTCCAGAATTGAGAAGTCTGAGGGGTTTGGAAGATAGCTTGAGACGGGTGATAAATATATATGTATTATGTAGTGAATATGTATATTATGGAGAAAATTCCCCGGGTGATTAATATACTTACTGCTGGTAATTAATATACCATATACTGGAAACTTGCTTGAAAAAAGTGATATGCTGAATTTATAGCTTAGAAATAATTTTGTCACATAGATGAATTAGCTGATATATAATTTCACCTGTATAATAAACAGAGAATTCAAGTTAAGTGCCCTATAACAAATTAGTATTTCTTGCATATTTAAGATAGTGAAGGAAAAATTCTAAAGTTTTATGAGAAGCTAAACTTAGGCATGACTATTAAAAAACTTCAATATTATCTACAAAATAGATAAAATTAGCTTAAAATTTAATTGTAGAAAAGTATCCTAGTTGCTATCCACTACACAGGTGTTTTCATAAAAACCAAAAGTATTACAACAAAAGATTATAAAAACATTTAAAATACAATTTTATGTAATTTTTATTTACACTTTAGGATTTAAACAACTTGCTGGGAACATCCTTTGTGAAGCAACAAGTCTTTTTTTATTTGAAACTATTTAAACTTCAAGAAAGGCTCACTAATTTTTTCTCAAGAGAATGCAACAAATGTGTCAGCTGAAAATAGCCAACTTAAAGATTATTTGTGACAAAGACTTGATTATGTGAGCCTAGAGAGCCTCCCCACCTCTGTCTCCCCTGTGGAGGAGGAGGTCTTTGTGTGCTTTTGTGTGGCGGTTCCACTGAATTCATTACAATAGAGATGGACATTTGATACTCATAACGATCCAACATCTGAGCAATCTTCTGTCGAGACACACCATGTTTATTCCTCCTACCAAAAAAGAAAAGGATTTTAAATCTTTTTTTAAGAATGTAAAGGCTTAAACTGTCTTAGAGTAACAGAATAGATTCTAAATTGCATTTTGCAAGTAAACATTAGAGGAAATATTTCATTTACCCACATTCTATACAAAAAAGATTTATATTAGCTGTCTCAAAGTTTTTAACAATACTTTAAAAGGTTTCAAGATATAAATCACAGCAAAATGTTAATTGATTATACCTTCCTTACATAAAACTACTTATTCACTGAACCTGCTGAGTATATTCTCCTGTTTTTAATAACAAAATTAAGAATTTGAGAATTATAGAAGGATTGAGTGGACTTCTAGGACTTACAAAAATCAATGTAAAACATTTAGCAACTTTTAGAAGTTATTTTAGGACGGTTCCTACTGTACATTTTAAATTTATTATCACTAAAACCAAATTATTAGAACCACTACAATTTGGACGTCTTTCAAAAACATAATATTGAATGAAAGAAACTAGACACAATGAATACTTACTGTATAATTCTACTTATATATTTAAAAGTTTGATAAAAGGCACAGTTAAACCATGGTTTAAGGCAAAAGATGTTATGGTAAAACTTTAAAGAAAAGGAAGTAATTATGATTACCAACTCAAAACAAAAACAGTAGTTACCTTTAGGGAATAAAAGGTAATTGTGACTTGGAAGAGAAATACACAGAGCTTCTTACATGCTGACAATGCTCTTGACATGAGTGATGGTTAAATTCACACGTGTCTTATAAAAACTTTGTTAAGCTATGTACTTACACTTTATGTACTTTTCTATATTTGAGTTTATATGACAACAAAAAGTGTTTTAAAAATTATTCTTGACACTCAAAGAGCTTTTGACAATTTATTTTACCCTCATAGTTTTCTGTAACTTGACTTGGACATGGTAAACAGACACAAACATATTTAATACCATACTTCTAGATGTACTAATGCTAATTCATTTTTCCCAGAAAAAAGCCACAAAAGAAAAAATTTACTTTTCAAATCTGATGTTTACATTCAAAACAAAAAAGAGAAAGCAAAAAAGGGAGAAGATGGAAGAAAAAAAAACATCTGAGGCTGAAAATTGGCAAGATATGACTAAATCCACAAAATGCCAAAACTGATTCAATCAATCCTCTTCAAAAATCAAACTATGCCAGATATCAGTTAAACTGGCTTTGTTCTGTAAGGTCAATTTATATTAAGAAATTAATAAATTTCAACAATCCCTCAATGTAAATGACATCATAACTGTATAATAATCCCATCATTCATCTATCCAACATAACTCAATATTCTTTAGTTTTTAAACTTCTGTCTCTTCCATAACAGGTGTGATATACACACATGGCTAGGCAGGTAAACAATACCAGATATTAATATTCACAAATCTATCGATTTATCTATCTATGAACACATGGCATGCAAGTCAGAAAGACAAAGAAAGTAACGAAAGAAACGAAAAGCAAAGGGGAAAGAAATAAATTAGTTGGACCCCATACACAGACCAACAACTTGAAGCTAGAAGAGGGCAAACTGAAGTGGGAGGAAAAGCCTGGATTAAAAAAAGGGGGATGACAGTTGCACGACTCTGTGAATATACTGAAAACCAGTGAAATGGACACTTTAAATAGGTGAATAATAAGGTATGTGAATTATATCTAATAAAGTTGTTATCAAAAAGTGGGGGGAGGGTGAAAGTGAAGAAAAAAAAAGAGAGTACTCATAGTCAGGAAAGGCAGTGACTGACATGAGGGGAAAAGGATAAAGGTAAACACAAATGGAAGAGTAGGGCTGAAAGTAATACAAGTCCACAATCTCTCACTACAAGTTCTGAAATCTAATAAGCTCTGAAAACTCAATTTTTCTGTTGACTCATGGCAGCAAAACCTAACCAGATTTGTACTCATTTGGCAGCACAACCTACACAGAACTGACATTAGATTATACAGAATCTTTCCTATTTACTTAGACTAACTAATCATGATTTGCTGCAAAAATATTAAGATGTTTGATTATAACATGCTGCCTCAAACTCTGATAAGGGTGTTGTGATTAGGTATATGCAGTATACTACCTTTCTAAAGTCCAAAAAAAATCTGAATTCCAAAATGCATTGATTCCAAGGAACCTGGCATGGGATTATGGACCTGTAGCAGTAAAGATGGAAAATGGGGAGCAAGATGAAAAGGCACAAGGTAAAAAGGTCATGGTATCTAAAATGGTAAGGAAACCAAGGTGGAAGGACAATACAGAAAAGTGGCCTAGCTAAAAACCAGAGGGAAAAGTTCTAATTTTACAAAGTTTCCTGTACTTATACTAGCATTCAATAAACTTTGAAATGAGGTAGGAATTCACATAAGAAAAAGTAACAAATACATTTAACAAGGAAAACTTAATAAAATTTAACAAGGCAAGACTCCTCAAATACCATTACGTCAATGTTCCTCTTAAAAGAAAGTAAGTTGTAGCAGTCCCTATTCACAAGTGGCAAAGATATGATAAGTAAAAGCAGAAAAGAAATTGACCATGTAAAGGAGAAAAGAAAGAAAAAAGATAAGGATTCAATGAAAATTTGAGTGCCTTACTTTTCTAATTCTTCGGGATCAAATTTCCACCAAGTTTCAGGTTCATGAAACTCTACTCTGTATCCTTTTCCTATGGCCTACACAAAGGAAAGGAAGAAAACAAAAACCCAGAGAATATTTCTTAAAGTAAAAAGAAAGCAGACAGATATAAACTTCATTCAGACAATACTTCTAAATTTACTCAATAAAGAAAAATGTCACTTTATAGCTAATATGATTTATAAAAGTTTTAAGACTACTTAACTGGACAAATTCCAATTACTATCCTCAGGTCCAGGCAAAACTAACAAGATGAGCATATACTCTAATAATAAGATGAGCACATTCCCAATTCTTTGAAAAACTAAGCAAACCAACAAACTTCTTTAGAAAAGAGAACAAATGTTTTAATAACAAAAATCAAAGTAATCAAAATTTCACAATATGAAAAAATTGACAAGAATATAAAATAAAACTTCTCTCATATCTTGTATTTACCATTTCCACATACGGTTTCATTTCCCAAGCTTGTGTATTAGTGTTGTCTATTATAACTGGAGATCTCCCCTGATCAAAAGCTTGTTTTGCTGAAATAAAAAATAAATTTAAAAACAAAAAGATTAAGTTAAAATACACAAATAAAATAAAACTTAAACATTAATTATGAAGAAATTTACTACATTTCTGAACTTAAAACCAAAACTGTGCTATTTATTAAATCCATGAAAATAAAAGGACTCCACTAGATTAAAAGGAAATTAAGAAACATAACCACATGCTAGGTGTATTCTCCAGAGTGGATGCTGGTCTGATAATCTAGCTATAAAAGACATCTTGGGGACATTTTGCTGAACTTGCCACTAATGAAGAGGAAATACAGGCAATAAAGGAACAAGTTACATCTGAATGTAGACTGAGTATGAGAACAGGTGAAAATTTATTGACATGAAAAGATAGAGATTATTAAATGAAAACAGCAAGTTACAAGACAATAGTGAAATATGATCTTATTTAGGTCAAAATATAGAGCAGGGAAGATTTACTAAGATATTAATAGTGGCCATCTGTACGTGGTGGGAATATTTTCATTTTATCTGTATTTTCTAATTTTCTACTAGTTATAAATAATACTTTTGAAGTAAGAAAGGCTTAAATAAAAAAAATTTTAAAGAGACTCATGAATTTATGATTACTTAGCAGTAAAATTTTATACACCAAGTAGCTAAATATTAATTTTGTGAATATTTCTTAGGACTATGATTCTCAAATTGGGAGCTGAAGCAGAATGGAACTCTTCTAAACTGTATCTCATTATCCTAATGCCAACTCTCCTACCAGGACGTGAGAATCCCTGTTATAGCAAGCCATTATTAATGGCAGGAAATACCCCTTAGGTGTACCAGCACCACACTCTCCCGAGTGAGCCACAAGCCAGCCCTTAGGTGTACCAAACAAGAGAAATATTTAAGAACTCCTGATAAAATATAAAAGGCTGAAGCAAAATACAAGAACATGGAAGTTTTCTTTGGACTTAGAATTCAAATCACTGAGTTCAACATAATGAAAACATTTATACTCATATCTAGGGCAGAAAGAATTCTAAAGATTAGTTAAGGAGGAACGACTATGGTAGAATACCTATATTGGACAAGATGTCTATAAATACCAAAAGAAATTTAGAATTTGGGTCATAAATAGGTGCCATCATCTATTAATGCTAGCTTGGTGGTAACACCAAGATGCTGTCATCTTAACTGCTCCATCACCAGTGATAAATAGTAATCAAATCTTCCATTAAAAAAAATCTTATTATGGGCCAGCTGGTTAGCTCAGCTGGTTAGAGCACGGTGCTGATAACAACAAAGTCCAGGGCTCAATCCCTATAACAGCCAGAGTCCCTCTACCCCCCCCCCCAAAAAAAATCTTATTAAAATAATTCTCCTAATGTAAGTTAGGCTTACACATCCAAGGAGTTGTGTTCTAGAAGAGGAGCTTATTAACCAAATAAACTCTGATCTGCAGGAATGAGGAGATTATCCTCTATAAATAATCATCTTTGAATACCACAGTCCAGTGCACTCCATGAGAACAGAGCTCCTAAATGTTTGAACTGTCTACTCTCATTACCAAAATAATGAGTAGCTTTCTTAACTACTGTACTCCAAGAAAGAGAATAACACTTTAGAGATGTTTTCAACTTATAAGTGTTCTAAAATTAATTTAAATTCTTCTAATAATAAACAAGAGGTAGACAGATCTTATCAGAATGGTGTCCTGGGGCCGGCCCAGTGGCGCACTGCTACAGTGCGCCGCTTGGGAGCGCGGCAACGCTCCCACCGAGGGTTCGGATCCCACATATAGACCGGCCGCTCACTGGCTGAGCGAGGTGCTGACAACACCAAGCCAAGGGTTGAGATCCCCTTACCGGTCATCTTTGTAAAAAAAAAAAAAAAA